TTTCTTTCTTTCTTTCTTTCTTTCTTTCTTTCTTTCTTTCTTTCTTTAATTCATTCATTCATTCATTCATTCATTCCATTATTGAATGTTGTGCAAACACAGTCGGTGTGATTAATTTATGATTCAGTGTATTGTGTGAATTTAGAAAGTTGAATTAAATCCCTAGATAAATAGATTGGGTGAACACACCCAGACACTCCCAAATAACCCTTGGATTCCAGCCATGTTTCCTAAGTCCAGTACTGCTTAAATTTTACACGATACAGAATTCCTACACATCCATCATATTGCACAAAGATGAGGTTAAGTGAACAAGAAAATCCAGAACATCGGGATGGGGGGGGGGGGCAGGGAGACAGTTTTAACTTAAAACAATCCTGTGGTGAGCCATTCCAGAAGAGAGATTTAACCTGGATTAATGTCTTCTAATTGGCTACAGAGAGATGAGTGCTGAGAATAGCCTTACAGAAGGGATTAAAAAGAAAAATCATTGCTGCAGTTGCACTTGGAGGAATGTGAGTGAAATAGATGTTAAGGATTGATATTCTTTGATCAGGCTGACATAGATGTTTATTTATTTTTTTGTTATTTGTCAAAGTGTGACTACAGAACCTTCCTGCAAAGAGCTAAGATATTACTGGGAATTACTCTGAATTCTATTGAATGTCTCTGCCAGTACATCATTTACTCAAAGTAGGAACTGACTGAATTGAATGTGTCACACTAATGTAGCCATTGTGTTTGCTCTGCTTCAGAGATATTAAACTGTTTAGCAAAACAAATTTGAAATTCACTGCACTCTTTCATTCTCAAACTCATGTGATTAAATAGACTGAAGTTACTTAAAAGTAGAAACTGGCTCCTTGTAATTAGCCTTCCAAATCGATGGAAAGTTCCTATGCTTGCTTAGACTCCTTCCTACCTGCTTTCGAGTTACTGGACAACAGGCCCCACAGTCAATTTTCTCTAGAATGTAAAGATCATCTTTGAACTAGACAAGCTCTGCATTCTTATGCATAGACAGTGACACTAACTAGAATGCACTGTAGTGAAATGAACAAACTGTTCAGTAGAAGAACAATTGCTTGGTTGACCAGAACATGCAGCAGAGTTGTGAAGTGTGGCAGGCTTCCATCTCATTACCTGACTTTTCAGAGTAAGATTACAA